AGGCAATAAAATACCCCTTAAACAGTGAAGCAATAAAATACTCCCTTAACAGTGAGGCAATAAATTACCCCTTAAACAGTGAAGCAATAAAATACCCCTTTAACAGTGAGGCAATAAAATACCCATTTAACAGTGAAGCAATAAAATACCCCTTTAACAGTGAGGCAGTAAAATACCCCTTTAATAGTGAGGCAATAAAATACCCCTTTAACAATGAGGCAGTAAAATACCCCTTTAATAGTGAGGCAATAAAATACCCCCTTTAACAATGAGGCAACAAAATACCCCTTTAACAGAGAGGCAGTAAAATACCTCTTTAATGGTGAGGCAATAAAATACCCCTTTATTCCTAATTAACATATTTGTTTGTCTTTATTATAATCTATATCTTGCTGTGTTTATTATATTGTGCCTCTATTGCTAGGTGATAATACTCACATAAATTACTTCAATAAATAAAATTAAAACCTCTCATAATTGTGATACTGAGCTTTATATATATATATATAGTTATACACATATGCAGAAAACAAACTGAATCGCTACCCTAGCTACCCTTACACAGATCAATATAATATCTAAACTTCTAATATTAACTATACGTTTTCCATAACCCTTACATAGATAAATATAATATCTAAACTTCTAATATTAACTATATGTTTTCCATAACCCTTACATAGATAAATATAATATCTAAACTTCTAATATTAACTATACGTTTTCCGTAACCCTTACATAGATAAATATAATATCTAAACTTCTAATATTAACTATACGTTTTTCATAACCCTTACATAGATAAATATAATATCTAAACTTATAATATTAACTATACGTTTTCCATAACCCTTACATAGATAAATATAATATCTAAACTTCTAATATTACTTAATAAATTGCAATTTATTTATTTATTTTTTGTATGCAAGTTTTAAGTATAAATTCTTTAAAGTTTTAATGGTTTCAAGCTTTTATTCACTTATACAGTCTCGGTCAAAATGTTTGCATACTGTTTCATACTGATGTTATTGTCTACAGCATGGAGTAGTTATTGAGTAGCCCCCCACCCCAGTGGCACAGTGGTATGTCTACGGATTTATACCTCTAGAAACACGGTTTTGATACCCGTGGTTGGCAGAGCACAGATGGCCCTTTGTGTAGCTTTGTGCTTAATAACAAACAACAACAAGTTATTGAGTAAATGCCCGAGTAATAAAAAACACACATACACACCTGTTTTGTATAAAAGGGCGTGATTTTGATATAATAGTTTTAGAAACAGTTCAACGCTTTGTTTAAACAGTTTATCTGTACTTGGTCACGTGCCAGAAGTTCTAGGACGTCGATTGTCCGGAAATTTCAGGAAATTATACTAGTAGACGCCGAGAAACTACTGACCCGAGATGACCATGTTTTGATCAGGTAGACACGTCAAGGCCCGAGATGACCATGTTTCGATCAGGTTGACACGTCAAGGCCCGAGATGACCATGTTTTGATCAGATTGACACGTCAAGGCCCGAGATGACCATGTTTTGATCAGGTTAATACGTCAAGGTCTTGCAACACTTTACGACAGGAATAGCATGAACACATTCATTCTAGAATATCCAAACGAACATTGAATAGAAGGGCTATCTGTAAAGCAATATTAACCAGAATTCCCTGCTGTCACCGTGTTATTTGGACAAGACAACATGCCAACTTACATTTACGACACTGGCGACACGTGATCTTTACAGGTGAGTCCTGTTTTCGGCTTGTTAAAGGTGATGGTAGGATTCGTGTTCGAGGTTTACACCGCATCAGACTGCCTATCTATTTATTCGTCTAGCCATTCCTTTTATTCTCTAAAGATAGACGAAAAGCTAAAATCACCTCCGTGACCACGGAACACGGTTTGCTGAGCACACATAATTTAATGCAAGGTTTCAGAAGACTGGTATTATTAAAAATTGGACCATTTTCAACATTAATTGTAATCATCGTGATGAAAATGAACAAGAAAAACTCGTACTTTCTCGGAGTATTCCTTTGGCAGAAAATACAAAAGTTATTTTCCCGGGATTCAGGTGTAAGATATAAACAAAGCAATGACAGACATTTTATTCCAGTGACGTACATTGCATTACAACTATTTACAAGCTATAATAGTCTAATCCGCGAAACAACTGAGAACAAAACGTAATGTTATATACAATACTTTATTTTTCTTGTGTACAGGAACTGGTTGTTATTCAGCCTAACGAAAAACTGTTAAACAGGAAATTAACACTACACTTTAGAATAAGAAATACATTTATAGGCACTGTTATTTTTTTTAATGCATATATATATTTACAAGACAACCTTCTGAACACAAAAAATATAGAACACACTGCAGTAGCATTATTTTTATCGCTTAATATTCCATTGGTTCAGAATATATAAAAAATACAGAGGCTAAACAAACAAAAAAATGTGTCCCACACGTGTACTTAAAATAAACGTGTTTATCGTTTGACACAAAAAAAAGGAAACGTTTTTTACACGTGTCATATACTTGTACTTAAAATAAAAAACATTACTACTAATGGAAACAAATATATATATATATATATATATATATAGGAAATATGTTACACTTGACAATTCAGGACGGTTTTGTTTAAAAATATATAAAATTGGTAAGATAGGTAAGAAATATTATTTATCAAAATTTTCTTAGGCATTTTATAATAATTTTTGTTAGGTTAATATCAAATAATTATATATTTTATGATACTGTATTTATATAGTCTTCAAACAAATTATAGACTTCATATCATAATAATAGAATTTATAACAAAACAAATGACAGAATTTATAACAAAGATTGCTGTGACCAGAAGTTAATATTAACTTGTACTGTCTATCATCTGTGGCTCCTGCATCCAAACCTTACTGATTGCAGTTCAGACTGCGGGAAGGGTCATTAGCGGTTATGTCTTTGTGTTATATATATTGTTTCATATTATAAATAATTATTTTCATTTCCTGGTAAATGATACTGTATTTTCTTTTTTGTATCATTATTAATTTCTTTTTTTTTTGCTTTTGTCAAGATATTTTTCTTTTCTCGCGTGTTCTTAATTGCTAACACTGATGGTAAAGGGCGTGTCTTTATATATTTGTTCTTGCATTTTTGTGTTGTATTATTCTTGTATTTATATACATATGCATTGTCTTTGTTAACGATTGAGAGTGTATTAGATTTGTTGGAGGAATTTTCTTTGTAATATATAGTGTTAATGTGGGGAGGGAGTAGTCAAGTGTAAATTTAATATTTTTGTGGAAGGAGTTACCAAGTGAAAAGAAGCTCAGTATCAGATTATCCCCCTTAAATATGTTAACAAAATTAGTTATTGATTGATTGATTGGAATCAAAGAGTTTGAGATTTTCTAAACGTAGC